TGAGAAACTATTTGTTCTGTAAACCTTCATCTAAAGTACAATAAAAATAAATAAATAAAATAGAATCTGACCACTTTTTGCCACTTCCCATGCTGGCCCAAGCTACCATTCTCTCATGCTGAGATTATTGAAATAGTCGTCTGGTTGACCTCCCTGTTTCTGGCTTTGCCTCCCTAAGTCTGCTTTCAACTTAACAGCCAGAGTGATCCTTTTAATTTATAAGGCAGATGATGTCACTCCTCTGCTGGAAATGCCCCATGTCACTCAAAGTAAAAACCGAAGCTCTGTTAAACCTTGCAGTGTCTGGTGCCCTGTTTGTTCACTCCTTGACCTCATCTCCTGTTACTCTTTCCCTTGTTCACTGTGCTCCAACCTCCCAGGTCTCAGTGCTATTTTGAAACATAACCTGCTTCCCTGTCACCCCCAGCACCTGTGCACTGGTTGTGCCTTCTAACTGGAGCTTTCTTCTCCCAGATGGTCGCGTGGATCACACTCACCCTTTCTTCAAGCCTTTACTAAAATGTCACATTCACAGTGAGGCCCACCCTAATCTGTCCTTAAAACTACCACCCATGTTTTATATCCTCTTCCCATTCTTGATTCATTTTACCATGCTGTACTCTTCCCCCTAGTATGCAGCACCTTCTAACATACTGTGTATTTATTATGTGTATTTATTGTTTCTCTCACCATCATCAGAAAGTAAGCTCCGCCAGCTTAGTCAGAATTTAGTCTGTTTGGTTCACCCAGAACAGTGCCTGGCTCATAGTAGACATTCAATAAATGTTTGTGGAATAAATAAATGAATATATGAGTGGCATCCCATTGATTTTAGGATAAGACCTATGTCTTGGCTAGGCTTTCAAGGCCCTGCATGACCGGGTCCCTGGCTGCTTTGCCAGACTTACCTCCTGCTGGCTTTCCTCTTCTCCATGCCCTTCCAGCTCTTTAGGCCTTGAAGCTCATCCAGTCTGCTGTGTCCCTTTCCATCACACAACGGAGTATTCCCTCTGCCTGGAAGATTTGTTCCTTTCTCTCTTCTCCATTCCCCTTGCCTAGTCAATTCCTGCTTCTTCATCCCAGCTAAGTTCCAGGATTATTTCCTCAAGAAAACCTTCATTCATCACCCCCTTTACCCCAAGGACCTAGGGTTTTATACTTTCATAGTACCCTGACCTTCTCCTTTATGGAACAAAAGGTAAGTTCCAAAAGGGCAGAGACTGTGTCTGTCTTATTTACTGCAAGATGCCCTGTTACCTTTGCCTTGCGCATAGTAGGTGCTCAATACATCTTTGTTGAGTGACCTAATTTAATTCATACAAGCAACCCCATTAGATACAGATCTAAATTATTAACTATTTTGTAGATGAAAAAGAAAAGGGCCTGCGGAGATTTTCTCATTTGCCCAAAGGAGAGTGGAATAGCCCATAATGAAGCCATGACCGCTTCCTGTTTTCTGCGTTGACTTGAGAGAGGTGCACTTTAGTGTGCTGTCTGTGCTGTGGCTGTGATAGAAACCGTGGAGTAACTTCAGTCATGATTTATCAGGGCACTTACAAAGGATGGCTCTACTGTGGTCTAATCTCCACTCTCTCGGCAATGTAACACTAGTAAAGTGTATATGAGGTGTACCATCTGTCTTATACCCTGCAGCTTTTTAAACTAACAAGTGTTAAAATCTGTTGAGAGTATATGTTAACAGTAGTAACATTTTGTGTTACTTTATAACTTCAAGGGTAAAAATCTCTAGAACTACTGTTATTAAATATATTCTTGGTACTTACCTGGTATAATGAAACAATTGTAAAACCGCTATTTAAAAATCTGATGGTTGAAAAAACACATTTACAAGTTAAATGTGTTTTAAAATATTCAAAAGAAAAAAGGGTCTGACCCCTTAAAAAATAGATGTCTGCAGAA